TTGTTTAGCAGATACATCACGACTAAACGCAACGCTTTTTCTGTTTCGGACTTTCTGCTAACTACCAAATTTTTAGCTTTACTTATCTGCCATGATAAAACTACAAACGGTGGTTTTATGGGCATCAAAACAAGCTGACTGCAAAATATTAGCAACGTACCACAAACAAGGCGATAACAACACCAAAACAAGGCATTTAATACTCACGCTTAAAACTGTTAAGAAGAATTACATTTATAAGACATGTGTTAAAAAACATGCCATAAATGCACCCTCGGCACCCCCTAATACTGTGAAATTTTACCGAAGGTATACTGTTGCTTATTAACGTATCCTACTGCCCCTTCGGTAACCGAAAATCGATGACAATGTCATTTCGTAAAGTAGTTGTTTTCTCAACCTTGCTCTAACTATGATCAAAAATTTAAATTCGACCAAATTATCTAAAACACTTCTAAAGACCTATAATGAAAAAATCAATATAATACGGTAATGATATACATAAAGAACCAGTAAGCGCATAGCTGCTACGACCAAATTTCAAATGGAGTAGTTTATTCAGCTGAAAATATTGCCAATGGGTTTAAAGTAATAACAGAATGTCCTCAAAATAAAGATTCCAAAAGTGTCTAGGCACTGATAAAAAATAAATATTTTAGAAGCTAACGTGACGCTATTTAAATACCAATGCCAATACCTGATTTCTAGCACTCTATAGGAATCACCCAGTTGAGCACAGAGTTAAGGAATGGTCTACCTTCCTAAATCTGATTTTTGTTGATTAGGTGATAATCATGCAACTGTTCAGTAGTGACAGCGTCCAAGTCAGAGCCGAGAGAACCCCAATTCCAGCCATGATCCGGTCACTTACCTTTTCTCTTTACAATTTGAAAAATGAGTATTATTCCGTATGGATAAAGCAGGAGATTACATGTAATATTGAATATATAGCTGCTGTCGACCTTGCCTTAAAAGAATTAAGCACTTTTCGCTGATAAGATAAAAATATAAATCGGCGCTCAACTGTAAACTTTAATAAAGAAGGATCTATATCAGAAGTGAAAAAATGATCGACATTGCAAATAAGACAAATTTTCTGTCCCTTCTTTTCGCTTGAATCTTGAAAAAAACATGCAAAATCATTCATAGCGTACGTGGTACACAGCGGATAGCTGGGAGTTGGAGTTGTTTGACTGATTTCGTAAGTCAAGGCATAAACTAGCTCTTTCCCATCAAAGGTATACAGCATGAATTTTTTAAACATTATTAATTAAATTTTATGGGTACTGATGAATGCAGCTATGCCAGAAACTCACGTTGCTGCTCGTACAGTTCAGTCCGTTAAGATAAACAGAAAAAATAAATCAGAAAATTGGTAATCGCTGAACGGTTGGATGCCATCTGATACTATCCTTTCGTCGTGCTTTCCTCTTTTGTTGTTGCATCAGGCAGACGTTCCTTGCAGCTTTTCAAAGCGAAATCAACAGCTGGCTTACCTCTGTGCGACGTGATTCTCAATTTCTTTGTCGTTGTGATCTGTTTAAATCGTTCATAATCAACTGAGACCAAAGAGCCAGTGCGGAAACCTCGCGAAAATTTTAGAAAATGAAATAATCTTGCTCTTCT